ATAAAATAACTGTTGCAGGAAAAATCTATTTTTCGCATGATTCGAAATGTGGGCAAGGCTACAAATGATGCTCAAGAGTGCTGTGTCTTGCTAATCCACAGTGTCTTCTGAATTGTCTCTCAAAGAATAGTATTATGTTTCCCAGTTTCACAGATGACTTAAAGACTTAGATTTGTAGTGATGAAGAAGAAATAAAGATTTTAAGTTCTGCTCTTACGCTGTTTACTAATCTGTTCTTTGTTGTGGTTTGCCCTGAAGCTTTTGCTGTTTTTTTTTGTTTCCTTACTTACTGCATAGTCTTTGTAGTTTATCCACTGATGCTGATGATGTCATCCAAAATTCAGACAAAAATTATTTTATCATTTACATTCAACATGTTTAATTGTTCAACCTGAGTTCTAAGACTTAGTCATCTTTTGTCTTTCCCCCTGCCTTCTCACACCACCAAGATGCTCTTAGAAATAACATGTGAACCTGTTAGTGTCAACCAAATTTGGCTCACTCTGTACATAAATTGATTTATTGAATGTCTTCCGTGTAGGCGTTTTGTCCATTCTGTAGTGATAATTGAAAAGATTGTCAGCTTTGCTTGCCTTGTACATTATATTGAGAGTTGAGCATGTAAGGAAGTATAAAGAAAGTAGAGAGAGGAAAACATACTGTAAGACCGTGACTACACAGTAGGAAACATTGCGTAGTTATGTTTGTATCGTCTTGCTTCTGTATGCTGACAAAGATAAATCAGAAGCGAGATTAAAATCTCAAATAAATTAAACTTGGATGACTTTTTTTTATCTAGCTACAAATACATTCAGGTTTTAGAGATGCAGGCAGATCTGAAAAAAAATTCTTGAGCCTCAAAGGTCAACTTCACATTACAAGGCATGAGTAATTTTGCTGGCTACACTAGCAGTAGCACATAGTTTTTATTTGTACCAAGAAACTGTTAACTCTTTACACAGTATGAATTCATAACCCCATATTTATTTATATCTAATCTATTCTGATTCCTATGTTTTGTCTGGGTGCAGAGGTTGAAAAATATGATGAAAACCTCCATGAAAAGGTTGTTGAACAAGGTGGAGGACAAAAACGATACTACTTTGAAAATCTGAAAATTAGCGTGCCTCAAATAAAGTTGAGTGTCTTCACTTCCAACAAACTACCTTTGGATCTCCAGGTACGCCAATGCATTCACAGTGTGTGCTTCCAAGTAAAGAGATTCTATTGGAGGAGGAATAGGGAATAGAAGCTTTAACTTACTACTGTTAATTTCCATTTACTCTTCTATTATTTAAGTTACAAATAATAGAAGTTCCAATATCTTCTATTATTTAATATGCATAATTTCCAGTCTCTTCAGTAATATTCTTTCATTTTTATAATTTCAGTTAAAGCACAGCCAGCTTCACCTAGTCACTCACTACTTTCCAAAGAATCTTAGTTACATTAATGATAGTGTAAAGAGGCTTAAAGGGAATGACTATCATATGGGAGGGCTGAGGTGAGGGTGAAGAAAAATAAGAAGTTATTCAACTTAGGGAGCTGAAATACAGGACAATGCTGAGTGTTTTCATCCAAAAAATGTTGTGTCATTGGAATTGAAGGGTTTGCATGAGCACTGTACAATTTGGTTCAATATTAAAGTGAATTTAGATTGAGTATGGACTTAAGCAGATGATCTGATCCTTTTCATGTGGTAATAAATGTTCTGGCACAGTCGTTCAAGTGAACCAGGGATTCCAAATTACAGCAAGAAGATAATCTCGTCCAGTGTTCCCAACTTGTGTGTTGGGACCTTCCTGGACATAATAAGGTGGCAACAGTCAGCAATATTTCAGTTCCCTCTGAGCTAATACAACTAATTTCCTCCAAGGTGGGGGAGTTGAAACAAATCCAGCCAAACAAACCATAAAAAACTCTCCCCACTGTGGAGGAACTGTGCTGCTGCCTATTCAACTTGTGTGTTCAAAAACAAAATTGAGACACTGACCAGGCTTTTTTGTGCCCTTGACATTGTAGACATTAAGATGTGCGAGCTTTTAAAGAAATCTAGTTTTGTGGAATGAGTGTATATCATGAAGTCCTACCAAGACAACCCAGCATATCATCAGTCCTGCATTCTTGTATTGCTTTTACCAAATCCTCATGCAAAGGAGGGCAATTCAATAGCTAGCTGTAATATTCCTTACTATTCAAAAACATGAGCAGTGTCTTGAATGTGTTTGCACTTCAGCTTCAACACAAAAATGCTTATCATCTGATTATCTCAAATTTAGAGAGAAAGCAGTGTTAGTGGAGAGTCCCTTTAAGAAACTAGTAATGTGCACTGTTGGGATTTCCTACCACCTTTGCTATATGATTGCATATGGATATGTCTTCACAGCCTCCAGCGTTGTTCCCAAGAGAAAACTTGGCATATACCTTTTTTTTTTTCCCCCTAATGATAACAAGTCACTGACTGTATTCTGTATATTAACTTTCACAGAAAGACTTCCATTCAGTTTTGTAGCACAGGAGAGTTCAGGGTAGGAGGGAGAGAATAATCACAGTAGAGCCTTTGTAGAAGTTTTTCTAACTACCTCTAATGTTTCTGGCTTGGACATTGCTGTCTGGTAATTTGTGTAGACAGATTATTTTTATTAGGTACCAGTATTAACAAAGTTGCCTTATATAATATCTGATAGTTAAACAGGAAATTACTTCGTACCCAAGTGAATAATGAGGACTACTCTGGTTAGTCATCCATTTACTGAAAAAATAAATAGGTCCATTCTTACTTGCAAACTTAAATCAGACCTGTAATTTACCTTAATTGCCTGCAGATGGCAGAAAAACTCACATTACTTACTACCAAGTATGCTTTAGTGATTAATGTAGAAAGATATAATGCGAGTATCAGGCTTCCTGCCTTCTTCAGATCTTCTGGTGTGGGTGACTGTGCAGATGCCATTATCAAGACCTGAAACAGAAGGGATCTCTTTCTTTCTTAAAAGATTAGTTTTCTTGTTAATTTTTCCAAAATTATTTTATTTATGTGTGTGTATATATAGATGTATAGCTTGTCCAACTTAAATACGTTTTTTTTATGTATAGATTGTACAGGTTACAGGTGGCCCATGGGCTAATTACTGTCTTAGTTTTCTTCTTTGAAAATAATCGAAAAAGCTGGTTTAAAGAATTTCAGTATACCACATAACGTTAAGAAATGAGCTTGCAGGAAATTGTGTATGTTATTCCAACTCATGCTGACACTTAATCCGTTGATAGAACTTCAGCAGGGTGGAAAATACCCAGTTTTATCTTCACTATATATAAAGGAAATTCATTTACGGTTCGGTTTAATTGAACATTAGAGCAGTTACAGCAAAGTGCTAAGCCTGGAATCTTAAACACATTTTGTTTTGAAATATTCCTGTCAAGCGTAGGAAACAGATTGCATCAGGAAGAGTGTTTAATGACTATCTAGTTACTGAAGAAATGCAGTTCTAATAATTGATCATTGCTTACAAGTAAAAGGTTTATGGAGTGATTGCCGTCTATATCAAAGTGTCTACAGTGGTAAACTACTCTAGCAGCTTCAGATAATTTTGGTTTGTTACCCATTTAGAGATTAATTAATTTGGGTGCTGTGAATGAGAAGTTTAGAGAAGAATTAAAGTAGCAATATCTTTTATTTAATTAGGCATTGAAAAGCACGCTGGGATTTCCTCTAATCCGATTTGAAGATGCTGTGATTAATCTGGATCCTTTCACTAGGGTCCATCCATATGAAACTCGGGAGTTTATCATTAATGACATTCTGAAACACTTTCAAGAGGTAAGTGTCATACAGATTTTATTGTGGCAAAGGCTGAACTTCTCTTGATTGATGAGTTCTCTACTAAGGGTGGGGAAACTCTTTCTTGACTATTTACTTAAGTGTTAGTGCTGTATTGCTTCTTTGGTATCCGGAGAAATAGCATCACATGCTTCTAAGAATACACTGCATTTTAAGATGAAACTATTGTTGATTTTACCGGTATTTGTGTGTTCATTTCTTCAGTAAAACTGTTCATTTCTTCAGTAAAACTATCTGGTTTTGTATATGCTTTTGTTGTGGGTGGGACTTTTTTGTTTTTCTTTTAATCAACCTTGCTAGCGTTAACGTGATCCGTAAGTGGTATTTCATTATTCCTGTCAATTTTACAGGAGCTGCTTAGTCAGGCAGCAAGGATTCTAGGTTCTGTGGATTTCCTTGGCAACCCTATGGGTCTACTGAATGATGTTTCAGAAGGTGTTACTGGACTTATAAAATACGGCAATGTTGGTGGTCTCATAAGAAATGTCACACATGGCGTATCAAACTCTGCTGCAAAGGTAATTATGATATTAAAATTTGCTAAAACAATAAGCAAAAAATAGTTGGAAACAAGTCAAATAGAATTATTGACTATCTTTAAATTGCTTTATGTCCTGTTTGTTTTGTAAAAATTGTGTTTGAAGTGTAGATTTTTTTTTTTTAAAACGCTTTATATATACACTTCAAGGATGCCAGAAATCCTGCAGGAGTCAATGAAAGCACTCAAGGCCTTATTATTGATATACATATATTTTGCAGATTGAATGCAGTAGTTAACCAGAGTGAGAACTAAAATGTTGCTACGGTGTGACATCATCTCCTATGTGCAAATGAACAAAGTTATATTATATTATGTATAGAATATATATAGAGAGAGTGAGTGTTATAGGAATTTGGAGTATTTAAGAGTTTATTTGGTATAACAGGAGTTGTTAACTTTTATTTTTGGAAAGTGATTAAACTGATGTGAATAACAATTATTGTGCTAACGCTTGAGGTTTTTTTTTCTTCTATGCCACATAGCAACAAACTAAGGAATTCCTAGATTGTTAGGCATTTATCTTTAGTTTAATTCCAAAGTCTCTGCGTGGTGAACATTCTTTTGTCCTTCTGATAACATTTGAGAGAATTCAATTATATCAGAGTGTTATCAGTGAAAATAACTATCTTTAGTGCCTGAGAGAGGTATGATCTGACACAGCAGCCAAAACTAGGAAGTGGTTTTGATCGTGGTTGATACTGTGCTTGATATTGAACAAACATATGTTTGCTTGGATAAAAAAAATCCTGAAATATTTTTCATTACATACGTGGTGTGTCAACATGCACTGTAAATGAACCTTGTGATCATGGGTAGAATTGGAATAATGCTTTCTTCACATAAGGACGTGTTGTTAATATTTGTTTTTGTGAAAATTCTTTACTTCCTATTATTTTTATTTTCCAGACTGGTAGGTTTGTACATGTATATTATCATGGTTCATCCTTTCACAGCCTGTTCCACTTACCTGTATACAAGGAAATCTACTTTTTTCCCCACACTAGTGGCAAAAGGTAATTCAGAAAATGAGAAAGGTGAAATGTAGAGTTTGCATAATTACAGGTAGGTCAAGACTAACGTTACCAAACCTAGTTAAACTGCCATAGAGATCTCCAGTCCATCACCAAGTGCATAGCTGTAAGCATATCTAACCCAGATTGTTGAACCATGAGGAAAGATGACATACACCTTCTTTATCATAATTATCTTGTTGCCAGCATTAGCCCATTTTGGACGATTTCAAGAAATTCAAACAAAATACCATGTTGTTGATATTCCTGTCTGAATCCCGTATTAGGTGATTCTGTGATGATCAGCACTGCAAATACAAGCTTATCCAAGCAATCTGGTAGAAGACTACTGAGCTCCTGTAAGGCAGTATCCATCTGTGCAAATGAGTATTTTTGTCCATACTTTCTACTCGTGGTTCTAGTCTCTTGTGACCCATCCACTCCACCCAATAGAGTATGTTTCTTTAGAGTTTCCTTTCTATAAAGTGTTGTTTCCTCATTGCAGTCACATCTGCAGCAACAGTCTCATAAATCTTTCTTTAAAAGGCACGAGCCTTCCTATGTTTCCCACAAGGGCAAGGTCATTCTTTGAACTTTGGAGTCATTTGTAACCAAGGGTTTTGTGAAGGAAGATTTTCAAAGGCAGAAGGGCAGTTGGATGCTGAACTCCTTTCAAAATTCAACAGGGGCTGAGTGCCTGCTTCCCATTTATACCTTTGAAAATCACCCCATGTACTATTTATCTGTCTTCCCAGGTATTTTTTTCTTTCTCCTTGATATATCTGAGATGTCTGTGATGCAAGTCTCACACAGTTCCCTTTTAAAAACTTCTTATATAGATTTGTCCTTTCAGAACAAGGAGATAATTATATCCTTTAGGAAGTACATTATGAACTCCTTGATTAATCCTCCTTCCAAAGGATGAATCTTAATTCTGCTACATAGAAGATAACGGTAAAAAAGGCTCAAATAATCAGGATGAATTCTTCCCTCTATGTTGCACTGCTTTAAGGCTTTTAAATCTGCTAGAAAACTAAGCCAGGAATGTCTATATGATGAAAAATTGACATTTCAAGTACAATTTGTGATGTGTTATGTACGTGGTACAGTGTAGAACTTCGTCTTTCACTCCTTTCTACTCTACCATGTATATGCCTAATGATTGTGTCTAGGATATGTGAAGTTTTGGTGAAGAAAAAAATGTGGGAAAAAGTAATAATTCCAATTACTCAACAAAAACCATGACTGAAACAATAGATCGTTTTCCTCTTGCTATTGGTGCTTTCTGTAGGAAAAGTATTTTAAAGTATATTTTCACTGCATAAATTTTCACCTGATTCAACTGTGCTGTAGAGGTCCTCATCTTTGCAGCTTATTCTGTGGAGCTGGTAACTAATGCAGCCAAAACTAAATGTGTTCTGCATAGAAACTGATGGCCAGGAAAAATACCCATTTTGGTTGTTTTGAGTACCTGACTTTTAAAGTGTCTTAAATAAAAATCTATCTTAGATTTTAAGATGAGTTAGCTTTTAAGGTGTGAGTAGATAGATAAACAAACTTCAATACTATAATCATCACTTTAAAAGTAACACTGCTTGACCGAATTGAAAAGTAAGCTATTTGAGTTGTATCTGGTTTTGTCATTTTATTGCTTTTCTATTTTATAGTTCTGTTGATTATCCCTGTAATGGCTTTTCCATGCATTTCAGAACACGCAGTGGGTAATGCCTTCTTTCAAGTGGAGAGCTGCAGTGTATTTAAGTTGGCACAAAACCTTAGGTTAAATAAAGTTCACTACAGACAGTTTTGTAGTTTTTATCCCTTGGAGACTCCAAGTTCTGCATTTTAAAAAGTTCTTTGATCCTAAATATAGACACCTGAGGGAATTTCATTCCCTCTAAATGGAGACTTCTATAGTTGCCATATGCGTAGAAATGTCTTGCATTCTTGGCATCCACACTTTTTTTTATTTCTCCCGCTAGGCATGATAGTACTAAATCCTAAATTATTCCTGTTTCAGAGGTGTTTCAATTAGAAATGAATATTGAACACTGAATTAGCATCTGAACAAAAATGTTCTGTAGCTTGTGTTCTCCAAACGGGAAATTAAGTGTGGTTGTATCTATTACTGGCAAAAGGTGTCATGCTGACATAATGAAATTCCTGGTAGTAAAGGGTTGAAAAGATTAATCAGCATGTCAATACTGTATTTAATTTGCCTGATTCTTTCAACCCTTACAAGGAATTCTGTTATCTTTTATGAATTATGAGCACATAGTAACCCAGCCGAAACCAGGACACGTCGTTGTTATGACTCTGCAGCTAGGCTTAGTTTCTGGATTGGATATATATATAGGATGGAAATAATTGTTGTGTCCCTCCTTTCCTCCTGAAAAAAATAATTTCGTTTTCATACTGAAGTTTGAAGTTTCCAGTGAGAAATTTAATGAGGCTTCTTAAGGGAAGGCAAACCATCAGCCACGGTTGCATTTCCTTCTTAGGTTAGGAAGCATACAGAGTTCCAAGAGGCTGGCTTCCTTAGGCTTGGGAGCAGGCACCTGAGATGCCAAAACTTACGTATAGAGGAGTTGCCACAAATTGTGTGGTGGGTGTTTGTTTTCTTTTATGGCTGAGGAAGAGGCACAAATGAACTTCTGCCCTGGACTTGCATTCCATATATTTATTTTAATTCAGTTCAGAGTGATGGCAGAGGTGTTTAAGTGCTTAACAGAGATAGGAAAAGAGGTAGGGTGCTGGAACCAAGTAAAAAAATTGTTAAGACTAGTAAGGATACGAATATTGCTCCAAGTGAGTGTTTGGCATGGAGGCATTTGTAGAAAAGGAGCATGAAAGCAACACGAAGGGAAATAGGAGTTTTAACCCTCGTTGTGAGATAAATCAAAGCAGAATCTCAAGTGGTTGGCAGTGACAGAAAAATAAAGATAACTGAATGGAAAATGGAGAGGAAGTAATAAAGGGATTATTTAAAAACAAATCATGAACAAGTGTTTGACTAGTATGAATGTTAACTTTAACAAAACTGGCGATAAATAAGATGAGAAGCGGATATAGCAGAGCACAGAAGGTGGGTACAATTTAAGCAGGTTCTACCCAGGAACAGACGGAAATGTTTCTAAAGCATTCAAAGCTGATGGTTCCCTTTTGTTTAAAGTTTCTTAGTTTATGTAACCAACCACTCAGAAGCAAGAACTGGCATTCTCGCATCTTTGGAGACACTGTAGTTCTAGGAATATTAGCTCAAAACGCAATTCAGGTAGCTGAAAAAAAAATCGTATCTTGGTGACAGGGAACTTCTGACAAAAGCCTTTGTATATGAAGTCTGAGAAAGAAGTACATGGTGGTGTTTTCCTCAGGAGAGTATTAAACAAAATGGTCAACTGATAATGTAGAAAGATCATGGTGGCATTCGGGTTCTGAGTTTTCTACCATTCTATATTTTCACAATTTTCTTTTGACTCCCTACTCTTCTGTTTAACTGTTAACAGCAGAATGTGTATGATTACTGGCAGTCTCATACTGGATAAAAATGAGGAAGGCTGGAATACGTGTCATCTTTCTGGGCAACTTCATAGATTTGAATTTGGGTTTTACTTTGGGAAAGCTGACGGTTGTTCTTTACAAGGGTAATCTAGGTATTGCCGTTGCGGGATTTAGCAGCAATTGCCGTAAATAGTTTTTTCTATTCCTAGGAGTGATTTATATGGTTCAGGTCAAAGGTAGCTTTCCCTGTGTTTTCTTCAGTGTAATCTTAAGATTTGTCTCCTCGTGTCTTCCCCAGCATCGTGTAACTGCTGCAGCTTGTTCAGGTAATGCATCCAGGTGGCACTGCAGATCATCTTCAATTTAACTTGCATTTCATTCAAAGATTGGCAGTTCATGTGCAGGTTCAAGTGCTGAGCAGTGAGAATCTGTATGAAAATGCACAGATTACGAGCTGGAAAGTAAT